TTGTGATGATTGCGAAGTTTTTAGTAGAGGACACCTGTACAGAGCAAATTCTTTCTATGCCCGCTGCTGATCTTCGATTTATCCCTCTCCATTCCGGAAAGCTCCTGCTATAACAGCGTCATAGATTATATCAAAAAGAAGAGAGTCTCAAGAGTCCATTGCCTACCGGTATTATGTTTCACCGCGACAGCTCATTTTCGGATTTTCCGTAGTTAAGAGGATCTTACAATAAGAAGCAAACCGGCCTACCGGTAAAATCTAGGCATCTGACGGTACTATAATTAAATAGGGCCCCTACTCTATTTTATAGAACCTCTAAAGGTTTAGATATGGCATTGAAGTCACATGCTGGATATAGGCGCCTTTAGGGTTAATATAACTATACTAAGCCTAAAAGCAACTGTATCAATATCTGTTCAGGGTCAATACCTTAGCAATATCCTGAAAATATACAATATTTTGAAAATTATAGTGTTCATTATACCATAATTCGACTAATAAACAGATACTCTTTCTACCCCACTGTCTAGTGCCCATACCTAGGTTATAAGAGAGTCTCTCAAAGGACCCTCTTATGGTAAGATTGCTACCGGTAATACTTCTATGTCGATACTGTTTAAGAAATTATCGAATATTCGAATTAATATGCAAAAGAATAGGATCTTAGAACTTCGAAATCATGAGTTGGCTAAGTTCATATTCGAATTCTATCATGATTGCAAGTACACTATCTATATCATAACGGAGTTTAATAACCCTCTCACTGCTTACCTATAAAATCACCAATCAATTACATCTCTTTAAATTCTCGATTGATAAAGTAAATTTGACATATGATATTACCCATCTCAAAGAACAAACACTCCAAGCACCTTAAGTATTCAAATTTGTATATTCGCGCCTGCAGAAAGAGTATAATATTGTGCAATATAGCGTGTTAATAAGCGCATTCTGTTTGTATTGATTCATATTCATTAACTTATATTAAATAGATTCACAACCCCAATTCAGAAGTCTTTATTATCCCCCTCCCTTCCCCTCCAATCCACAACATTCTCAAATCCAAAATTCCTCCCACTTCCCACTTCCCACTTCTCACTCCCCACTGAACTTAACCACCGCACTCCTCTACATCTCTTTATTCTTATACTGACCGATAAGATAACCTAATAAAATTCCTATACTCAGACCAACATCAGATGACCCGTCTCCAAGCAGACTAACTCTTCACTTGAAAGTGTCATGTTTGGGTTTCAATTAGATGCATCATTACTCTTCATTCTATATTTGAATTTGAGTAGAGTATATTCTTCCGTTGAATACTACGGTACGAGTAGTAGATCTTATTCATAACATTCTTATTGTGGATGATGATCTACTGAGTACCGGTAGGAGATTTTACTTTAATATTTTTGTTCACTCACATCACAGATTTCATCATTATAATCACATCAAAACACTACATCGAAGCTCAAAGCTCAAAGCCCAAAGCATGTCAAAGTAAAAGTATCTCAGGAACCTCTCAAAGACACTCGTTATATCACTGTCCCTCCAACCATATATATCCCTAGCACCTTCCTACCTCACCACCTCACCACCTCACTCTTCCCACCTTCCTCCCTCACCAAACCCAAATCACAATCCACAATTTCCAATACCCGAAAATAGAATAGAATAAACTTTCACTATGTCATTATCACAACACACGTATGTATACCAAACCAAATAATTAATTCCATTTCATTCCATTCAATTTCACTATTTACATATACTTACATACATACATCTATCCATCCACCCATCTATTTATCAAAGTATATTACACTAACAAAACCACAAATAAAAGCAAGTAAATCCAACAAAAGCCACCCACCACCAGGTAGGTCCAATTCCAGGTCCAAGTCCAGCTCCATATTCAGATCTAGGCCCATGTCCAAATTCAGGTTAAAAAGAAACAACACAATACAATAGCGTCGCCTAAACTCCACCTCTAGGTGAAGTAGTGAATGAAAGCTATGATATCGCATCGCATCCCATCTGTAACCATAACCCCAACCATAACCACAATTATCGAACAAAAAAAATCAGAAAATCCAAAAATCCAAATCAAGACGTACAAACAAATTGGTATCCGCAAGAAATGAGCAAAGAACATATAAGCAAGTAATAAACCCCAGAACAAAGGAATCTCACACATCAAACCCAACCAAACTAACATAACTCTCACAAATCCTGATCCAGATCCTCAGCATCAAAATCAAAATCAAGCTCGCGCTCCTTATCCTTGACAATCTCACCATCCCCAACCTCAACATTCCCAACATCCCTCCCGCCAACCTTCCACCTCAAAACGATCTTACGTGCAGCCGGTACATCCTGTCCATCCGATGAAGAAGCCTCAGTAGGTAACCTTATACTCGTAGATACAGGATCCCGAACCGCAAGTTCCGCACCCAACGCAGTCTGCCTAGTTTGTCTCGTCTGTCTACGTTCCAATGTAGAAAGTGCCTGTCTCTTCGTCGACTGCGCTTCGTATGGTTGTTCGTCACCTTTTCCTTTGCGGTAACCTCCGATGGTTTTATCGTACCTTTTTTTATCGATTCTTTTGGAGAGTTTGGCTTTATTTGTGGTAGTAGTAGTGGTTTTGCGGGATGCTTTGCGGGCTTTGGAAGCGGGTTGGCGGGAACGGCGGGATGGGGGGATGGTGGAGGTTTGGTTGTTTGTAGCTTGGTCTTCGTCTTCGTCGGTGGCAGATTGATGACTATCGGAGTGGAGATAATCGTTGTCGTCGACCATAACAATGTCCTGTTCTTGATTTCTAGTGCCAGATACTCGAATACGAAGAGTTGGTTTCTTGGTGGGGGTTTGAATCTCAACGTCTTCGTCTTCGTCGTCAAAAGATTGGTTACCCTCGTATCGAGCATCATCATTGTCATCAATCATATAACTATCCTCTTCTTGATTTCTAGCGCCAGACACTCGAACACGGATAGTTGGCTTCTTGCTGGGTGTTTGAATCTTAACGCTTTCCTCGTCGTCGTCGTCGTCGAAAGATTGATTACCGTCGACTTGGAAATCATCATTATCTTCACCCATATCACTATCCTGTTCTTGGTTTCTGGTACCAGCCACCTGAGTACGACAAGGTGTCTCCTCAACAACAAACAATTCCGCATCATCATCATCCTCTTGATCAAAGAACTGATTCATATCACCTTCAACAAATTGATTGATATTATCAAACTGGCCCCGAAACGAATCTTCGAACGAAAACGGATTCATGCTACCAGATGCACCGAAACTCTGATGCACATCACCAAAGTCAAAAAAACCATCACTGCCCATTCCCTGAGCACTGAATGCATTTCGACGACCGAAAGATCTACCAATATGCTGGACCGGAGGATTCGATATATTTCCAGGACTGAAATCGTGATGGTTGGCATTACCAGCATATGTCTGTGTTTGTTTTGGTTTATTGACGGGAGTCCAAGTGGGAGCTGGGTGCCAATCCGTGTTCAGATACATTCCCGGTGTTCCAAAGGTACTAGCTTCATCGCCAATGAACCATGGTTCTTCTTCTTGAGGGCCATCATATGTTGTAATGTGATGAGGGCTTTGAGATGGACTGTTGTAATCAGTAGGTTGATGATCTAGGCTGTGAGTTGTAGGTCCGGAGGTAGTATCTTCGGTAGCTTCTGCTGCCTGACTGGCACTGGTAGGATTACTTAAAGGATCTTCTTGATTTTGACCACTAGTGGTGGCTGATCGATGACGAGGAGGTGTCAAATTCGTATCCAAATCCATATATGAGTCTTCTCCATAATTAGACGAGAAGCTTCCGGAATGAGTAACTTCATCTTGATGACTAGAAGAGCGTAGACCAAAAGTACTGGGCGCAGTAACTTCTTGTTTAAGAGTGAAAGAAGGTGGACCTTGACGACGAGTTGATCTATATTCACCAGCAGGCTGTAGACTGCGTGTTCTTCCGAGTTTAGAAATGGCGAGCTCTGCAACTATCTCTTCCTCTTCCTTATCATCACGAGCTCCATCATATGCAAAAGCCCGACGAGGCATCTCGTTTTGTCGTCCAAGTGAGTTGTAGACAGCAGCAATCTGCATCCTCTTGCGAGTTTCAGATGCAGTAGGGGAGGCTTGCGGGATAATCGGTGAATTGTCAGCACTCGGAGCATCAGTTGCATCGTCACTATGAACTACCCTTTCTTGACTGGCGGAAACTGTTCTACGACGTGGAGGACTGTAGGCAGAAGATGTAGGACTATGGGAAGCTGGAGCACGATTTGGGAGTGCATCGTAGACAGCCGAAATCTGCAACAATTCGCGATTACGATACGCAGAATTGGCGGTGACAGAAACTCTTTTTCCCTTGTCGACACTTGTAGAACGACTCGCATTAGCGTCGTGAACTGTCTTTTGCTGACTAGCAGAGCCTGTAGCGCGACGAGAAGGTGCACTGTAGGTAGGAAGAGACTGGTCCGTACTGCGTGTTCTGTGTATAGCAGTGGTGACCCGGTCGACTTCCTTTCCCTTGCGCGTAGAAGCAGCAGCCTTATTTACAGCAGCTCTCTGCATCTCTTCCATCTCATCCTGTGCTATTTTGAGAGCCTCTGTTTTATACTCATGGAAAAGTTTGTATTCGTCCCAGACATGATCGACCATTCCGTGCTCGCAGACCCAAGGATGTTCGGCGACGTATTCCATTGCATCGATCATTTCTCTGAGTGAGAAACGCTCTTCATTGTCACCATCGATAGATTCTAAAGGAGAGGAACCTTCGCCTTTGGCATCATCTTCGGTTTCAGAATCAAGCTCCGGAGCACGAGCCTCGCCATCTGTGGTAACTTGGATTTTGGCCAATTGTCTGTTGAGAGCTGTCTCCCTAGATTGAGAGGACAGCGAAGAACGATGGTGATCGCCCGCAAGAGAAGCCCCATCATCACCTTCTCCATTGTCACTGATTGTGGCATCACTATCACTGTCAATTGGAGTGAGGTGGGTCTCGTCGTCAGAATCAAAAACCTCGGGTTTAACAGCTGATCGTCGTCGAGTAGACACTGTGTTTAGCGACTTATTGTCAGGTCTCACAACTCCCTTTCCCTTGTTTGGCTTCGCGCTCGCAGATCGATGTAACTCTTCATCACTAACACCATACAAATCGTCATCTTGGAAAGCTGCTTCGGCCTGACGTTGGCGCTCCAAGTGTAATTGGTGAGCCCTCTCTTGTGGAGAAAGATAAAGAGATGATACATCCATCTTGCTGATGGTCTCCAATTCGGCGGCTGCGTTCTTTTCGACAGCAAGGGCAAATCTTACGTGCTTAGAATGACTTGATCGAGTGCGATCGTGGGAGGATGTGTCTGCAGAACCATCGTTGCCACCATCAACTTTGAAAAGTCCCATCTGAGGTTCCATCCGGCTCGGCGGATTGGAGTCAGAGCCACGTTGAGATTCATCTAAATTGCGATTGTCAGTACCGTCGACTTGAAGAGAGTCAATGCCTGACGATGAAGCGCGCATTGGTGGTTTGGGTCGAGTCACAAAATATTCAGCAGCTGATTGATGACCTTGAACTTCAACTTGAGGAATAGATACTGCCTCTGAATGAGAGCCATTGGTAGAAGAGTGGTTGTAGGTAATATGAAAGTCATAGCCTGAATGACTGCTGAGGTATAACTGACTCTTTACACAAGCCTCTTCAACATCGGCTTCGATTCGTTCCTTGTGATTTTCGATCTCTCTGAATCTCTTCACCTCGATTCTCCAGCCTGGGTTATAGGTATCATTCTCGACTTTGACGCACAAGCGCTCGCATAGAGTAGGCTGTTACCCGTATTGTTAGTAACTGGCGAGTAGTAAAGATAGAATTATACGAACATGCTTGATAAAAAGGCGAGCCAAGAAACGAGCATGCATCATCCCCCATGCTCTGATGTTGACTTCTGGGTTTAGATTTGGTCCTCTTTGTAAAATCGAGGAGGCATTGAGGACTTTGGCTTTATAAGCTGCTATTCCATCGAGAAGTGACTTGACGAATTCTGCTTGATCTTCCTCAGGAACCTTTTCAATCTCAGATATAGTCGCAGTGACCCAAGTATCTGGCTTGTAAGAGAATATTTTAGCAATAATTGCTGCTTGCTGGGCAGCCATGTCCATGGTGATTGTGATGCAAAGTAAAAAGCTGAAAGTTGGAGCAGAATGCCAACAAAAGGTGTTACAATATTGTCAATGTGATATAATAAGTAGAAGAAGCAAAATGAGAATTCAAACCAATGCAATATAGGAAGTACTTTGTTGTTGACAAAACCAAACTGGAATTTCGCGACAACGGGATGGAATCAACAGTCGGCTAAACACCGGTCACCCTGATCTTATTTCCATGACATTCTCTAGTCCATCAAGGTATTCACTTGCTTGATCGAGAGCCTCAGAGTGAATAGATAGATACATGATCTGAGTATCAGGCGGCAAGGCCATTCTGTCATTCTGATTTTGTATTGAGAACGATGAAAGACTATATGAGGCGATGCACACTTGTCCCGTGTAAAGTCTTTGAAGTATTAGCATCTTATCTGATACTTGTCCACACCTGACTGGAGCTTCTTGAACTTACTAGAGGTATTGCTTAGACAAAACCAAATGATCAAGGGATATCCAACATCTTGCTCTCATTTTCAAGCCTTGTTAAAGAAAAAGATAGACATCCAACAATAGCAACGTTGTTTAACTAGCCAGGAAAGCTTAAATTCCCAGCTAAAATCCATCAAATATAATTTCAATACATTGTACATATCTACCATGTAAACCAATAAGACAATTCTTCAATCATCCTATCCTATAGTAGCAGATACTTATAGTATTTATATCATTTTCCACAGTTAATCGAAACCTCATGAATATCAACAGTTACTTGCTGTTTGACACAACTTACAACTCTAAAATAAACTTCTGCTTTTTCTTTTTGTGAACTCTTGGAGTATTTCTGTTTTCCTGTTTTCCTGTTTGCTTCAATAGCAGTAAAAGCAACAGTAGTAGTCATAAGACAATATGACTTACATCATTCAACAATTGCCATCATTTAACAACTAACATTTCTCATCATCTACAAACTCTTTGAGGTTGTCCTGTCCTGTTTGCTGAGATGACAACTGTATGAAATCATGCAGCAACCGAGCCCCTCTATCATGCAACTGCAATTACTCGAGCATATACATATGCATATATGCATTAGAATCATAACGTTCGTCTAATTTTTAATTTCAATTTGGATATCTTGATTATATATATATAAACTAAACTATTATTACTTCTTGAAATAATGGAGAAGGAAGCAAGTCTATCTATGTATCAATCTATCTATCATAGATTCATCTACCAGTATATCGAGAACATGAGATAGAGAGACGAACCTATCACCTGAAAACCACTACAACACTACACCAAATCCAGCAATTCAATCCATAACATGCCTCTTTCTAAATCTAAGCCTTAATATACCGACTTTTACCTCTCAAGAACGGACCAAATCGATACAAAATCCACGGTATTGGAATCAGAGAAACCGTAATAAAGCCCAGCAAAGAAGTTGCCCATGTAAAGCCCAGGGTATCGAGAATTGATGGTGTGATGAGGGGGAAAGAGGCCGAGAGGAAGAAGCGCATGAATGTTAATGCTGCTAGCATTGATGCGCTATAGTGGGCTGTGTAAAAGTCGCTATGGTATACGGGGAGGCATAACTAAGGAAAGACTCGGTTAGTTTTCGCTTTGTATTCTGACGCGTCGGTGGTGAATATACATACCATTGTGAGGACAAATGAGAAGCCGAAGAGTCCACCAGAGAAGATAGGGATGATAGAGGGTATGTCTGCGCGACCTGTCCATGCAAGCCTGACCTTCATGTTAGCAAAGGAGAAGATCGCAGAGGATGATGCTTTGTTCTTACCAAAATAAAGAAATTGGGAGTGTGATAGATCCTAACATGGCTGGGTATAAACGCTTCTCTGGTGCTACCTTTGTTCCTGTTCTAATTGCTTCGTTTCGTGGTTTTCGATAAAACAATCGATCGAAAATTGCAATTGTCGGAATTGCGGTCACACTTCCAATTATCAGAGGGCAAAATGCCATTCCAACTTCATATGGTGAGTGGTGGTAGATCTTTTGAAACAAAGCAGCATAAGACAAGAAGTATGAAAAGACCACAGATTGTGTGATTGCCATCACTAGACCAGTAGGAAATATCGTGGGCTCGACTAGAAGCATGTGTAAAGGTCGTCCGAGAGATGTAAGAAGAAGTCTAGTTAGTGTTGCTCTGGTGGTAAAGAGGCCCATTTTTGCTTCCGCTCGCTGGCGCAATATTTGGGGTTGGTAAGTCTCCGGGAGGATATAGGCTATGATGGTAGAGCCCCCGAAAAGAATAGCTGAAATCCAAAATTCCCACCGCCAAGAATGATTTGTTATTATCGCTGCACTGGCCATAGGTCCAGTCTCTGTAATATGCGTATGTCAGTAATCTTCTATTAGAACAGATTCACGGAGAAGTGAGGAGCAAAACCTGCATCAGGAATTGAAGACGATACAAACGATGAGAGATGAAGGAGAGGTTTGAGATTGGGGAGTGTGAAATCAAAGAATGAATCATTCTTACGGGTACCAGCGACGACCAGAAGTACGAACAAGGCAGCAAACGTGGTCCCGGTCTTCTCGAGGCTGATGTCCCATAAATCACTTATGATTCCTCCACCCACCGTCAGACAGGGGGATGCGAACAGACCAGCGAGTGCTCGGGCAATAGCAACGGTAGCAAAGCTCGTAGCACAACCTCCCATAAGTGTAAAAATCAGTGCCAAAGGCGCAGTGACTCTGTACACGATCCTCCTGCCGAATACTTCTGAAAATGCTGTCGAAAATAATGCGCCAATACCAAGACCTGCCGAGTAGCAAGCTATTGGAACGGTGGCCAGTGTTTTCGATGTCCCGAAAGATGCCATGACACCTGGCATACCTCCTGTGTAGGTCGAATTTCCGAAAGTTCTGCCATATGATGAGTACATAGGTATATGGTGGAGATGAGGTGAGAACTTACGCCACAAAAGCCGTATATAAAACCGCAATAGACATGGCATATTTGATGACAGGAGACCAATTACGAGCATTCTCATCGTCTCTCAAGATAATTGAAGTGCCCCGAGGACGCTGGGGTGCGTATGAATATCTCTCCCATCTCAAACAAAATCGAGGTTCTGGTTTGTCAATTATTTCATCGGAAAATGAAGTATCTTGACCGCTCGTTCGCTCATCCATTTGAACGAATTGTCTTCAGGAGACAGTGACGATTGCTGAGTTCTATAAGTTAAACTAATAAAAAGAAAGAAAGAATTTAAAAGAAGGAGAAATTGGTCTTCATAAGGAAAAATCAAAGAGAGTAGAGATTGCAAGGAGATATACCTAAGTAGCTGGTTGAATAACGGCAACGATGCCGTGCACCTTGGCAGTCTTCAACATTGTTGAAAATGGAAGGCACGATTTGCTCCCACCTAAACTACTACCTACCTACCTTAGGTAGATTTGAACGTATTCGTTTGCCATCGAGTTTCATCCATGTAACATCATCATTCACGACGATCAAAAACTGATAAGTTCTTCAGAGTGAGATCAGGAGCATCAAACCTTTTTCGATACAAAATCGCATTTGCGGAATCTGCTCATTCAATGGTACACAGAACGCGTATTGAGGCAATGGAATTCACAACCCACGACTGCCGATCAGAATGAGGAAGTTTTCGTCGCCGTTGGGAGGGATGTACAGACTTCCTGTTGAGTCAATTCGACTTTTGATTCCCGGAAGGTGAGGGAAGTGAAGAGTTCGACGGAAAAGCCAACCAACTCATAGGAATATAATCGAATTGAAAGTACCGGTACTCGAGTATATCCCGAGAGATATCGAAACCATCAACCACGGAAGAACTTCTTCTAATGAATCACACATGTGGCGATATACTCAAGTAGTATGTATAACAGACCCTAGGACACTGGCCGTTTGACTCTGTCGCACTCATTGAAACACAGTCGATCTGTCCGACGATATTTTCCGATCATTTCGACGATGAATATTATGTATCAATGTATCATGCTGAGATCATATATGTTACCGTCCGTTACCACAAACGTACTTCCTCACAAAGGTGCAAGCAACTACCCGCGATGAATGACTTGCCATAAATTGGCAAACGGACACAAAACGACAACTTTCGGAAAAGCCATCTCGTTATGACACAGTACCGACCGCTACTCCACTCCACTCTACAACAAATACGCGTTTATTCTCGGAATCTCATCTCATCTCGTCACATCAATGTTCCCGGCAAAGCTTCTACTTTTATCATTACTTGTACGGGGTATCTACCAGCGAATGAGGATCCACAGATACAATACAGATGGCGGGGATTACCTCTTTGAGACCATCCGCCTTGGGGATTATGCATTTTATCCAGGATACGTTGCAAGACTGGAGAAGAATAATATAAATATACTTTACCCGATACAATACGAGACGAGAGTAAGTGTAAGCAGCAATATAAATCATCACTTCCGCACTTTTCCTCGCGATGAAAATGATTTTCTCTTCAGTTGAACCTCTTCAGTTGAACTTTTGTTTTCTCCAGACTTACGTACCCCAGACCCCACATTGTCGTCCCCTCGTTCTCATCCCCACACCCACAGCCAAACTGATTATCGAACATTCGAACATCAAATTACTTTCATACTTCTGGGTTATTCATACTGTCAATTATTTTTATGTTTACAATATTCTCATGATGAATTGCAATTTATGACGACAGCATTTTTTTTTCAATTAATTATTGCTGACATTGGAGCCTGAAATTCGAAATTTTAGAGCCATCAAACGGGCTGACAGCTCCTACGAACAACAGTTTCTGGTGCTCCAAACTTCAACCTCTGCGATCAATCAATCAGTCAATCAATCAATCGCGACAATCAATCACAGAACAACATTAGACACGACAGCATTCCACCCAAATTTTGGTTTACCTTACACTTTAATTGCCTGTACTATTCGAGTACAACGTCGAGCAAGAGAACAACAAAAAATCACTGCCTGAACGAGTGCGAGTGCGAGAGTGGAGAGTAATTGAATTATTCAAAAGCTTCAATTTCATTGGTATCATACAGTTTGGTATCGTACAGTAATAATTCCCATTCATAACCCAAATTACAAACGCCGACTGACAAATTTCCAAGCCTAGATATTCCTCATTCATGCATCACAAAGTTTTCAATCATTGACACCAGTATCCCACAATGCTATGCTACACTAAATAATAATAAAAACCACGGAACGAAACCGCGAGGAGAGACTTTCGAAACTTTTTGGGGCAGTTTGGCAGCCTGCACAGAGCGGATGGATCCAGCCATTGAACGAATATTTGGATGGAACCCAAGGCCAGAAAGCCATCAAGTATATGCCAAACAATATTCCATCATTTTTTCAGTCGAAATCTCCCTTGTATCTTTCCTCATATGAAAGGGGCTGGGTAAAGGCCGGTCTTCTCCTTTTGCTCTTGACCACCCTTTTGCGTACTGGCAAGCTTGGATCGAGCTCGGAGAAGATGTCCGTACTTGAACATAACGAAAGGAATGGCCGTTAAAGCCGTACCAGCGAGTGCGAGAATAAGACCAGCATATTGGCTACCGACATTGTGGAAGAATTGACTTGCAAACAACGGTGCCACGGCACCCAAGGCGTTACGCATCAAACCCTGCCCAGCGATTGCAGACGAACTATTTTCGCCATAACAATCCGCAGTATAACTGTATGTGGACTCGAAGATGAAGAAGATACCCATGGAGATTGGTGCAAGTGCAATAGCAGGAGCAACCCATGTGACGAAGCCGTACTGGGTAAAGCTGTAGATGAACAATCCGATGGGGAGGAAACAAGCACCACACATGGCACCGTAAAGTCGTGATTCAGGAACAATTTGATTGTTGTGATCCGCCATGATCGACTTATATTTCCTGATTTGGAGAAAGTTCAAAGCGAAGGCAATGGTCACACCAATACACAAGGAAATGTATGGCAGACCAGAGATACCTTCATTCCAGCCGTGATTTTCCTGGAAAGTAATTGGGATGACCGACAAGAACAAGAATGTCACGAACCAGGCGAAAGCAATCCATAACCCAAAGGCAAAGACGACAGGTTCGGTGGCAAGCATTTTGACGGCCTTGACGGAAGAATTGTGAAGCATCTCCTTCAGATCTTTTGCCTCCAAATCCATGTCGGCTTTGTATCGCTCATCGCCTGTTGCAGCTCGGAGACGCTTCGCACGTTTGTGCAGTGCGACACCACCTCTGGTTTCCCGAAAGAAGAACAGAATTGCGGCGAGAAGAGGTAAGTTTGCCAAACCTTGTATACCTTCGATCCATCTCCAGCCAATTGTCTCGTCGATGAATCCGGCATAAATTGGTGCTCCGACAGTTCCCAAGATTGCTACATATGCGAAACATGCCATTGGAACAGCTCTCTGATCAGGCGTATACATATCACTGAATGTTCCACCCACCAGGATGGTTCCAACACAACCAAACAATCCACCTACGAGCAGTCAGTGGCTGATTACTAATGGATTGGAAAAGGGGGTAGTACTCAATGTTCTCATAACGAGGATTGTTGCGATGTTCTTGCCGAGAGCCAATCCGATGAAACAAATGATGAATCCGGCATAAGCACCAGTATAAATTATCTTTCTACCAACCAACTCGCAGAAAGGTGCTAAGAACAGTGGTGCCAGCGCGCAAGCCATATTGAAACAGAAGAGACCCAATTGTCCTAATTCTGTCGAGACACCGAAATCGTCGCACATCCTTGTGATTCCACTACTATATGCCGTTGTTGCCAAACCGATGAAAAGAGTCATCATACAGAGCAGCATCGTGATGAAGACTTTCTTTCCCGCCGGCCAATTGAATGGATTCTCTGGATCTCCGTCGGCAAATTGAAGGAGAATAAATTCCTCTCCATCTTTTGAAATAATCTCCGTCCGAGTTTCTGGCATGTCGATTTCGACCTCTTTCAAAGGTCCATCTTCGGTATTATCGGAGTCGCTGCCACGCATTTGCTCCAAGAAAGAACCTCCTGCTATCCTTCCTTTTGGGGGTGTTTGATTCTCCTCTTGCTTCAAGTCGGGTAATTCAGAATTCGAACTGTCTTTGTGACCAGTTGGGGGTCGAAGCCCAGTATGCTTTGGAGAATTTGCCATAACGTACACTTGAAGATCGTTATCAGATTTTTGTGAGGACGACATTTTGAAGAATGAGGGGAGTTGGGGAGTTTTATTCGATTTCTAAAATAAGGAGTCTCCGGAAGGGGGCCCATTATTATGCCCTCCATTTGTTGGAGCACCCACATTTTCCCAGTTGGCCATCATTAAACTGGGTGTATGGAGTACCGGTATGTGTTGTGTTGCCATATTGTTCTGTGTCGTCATGAGCCGAGAAACAACCGCGTTGACTCTGTTGAGAAAGTTTCGGCGATACTTGAGTTAGAAGTTCCATGTTTTGGTGGACTGACTGATTCAATCGCTGCTTAGTTCAAGATAGTTGTCGAGATCGAGTTTAACTTCTTGTTTTTGATCCACAAAGTAGCCGACACTAGCATGACACTGGCATCCCTGGCACAGATCCTTCCGACTTGAATCGCCAACAGTGCAAAAACGGATTTTCAGATGTTTGAACTTTGAAAGAGGATTTGCTGATTTTTATAGTGTTGCTGTGTTATGCTCCAGGCTTTGAGACACCAATCATTGACAATACAGTATCACCACCAGCTGCTCAATATCGACAAGCATTGTTTTTACTGTGCAACTATCGTTGCTGTAATTCCGCCACACTCATTGTTCGCATTGAAGCCCGCCAAGAATCTGCGAGGCTTGATTGGTATAAGTGGATCAACGCTAGAAGATCACTAGAATAGCACTAGAAGGATCTGATGGCTAGAGGTTTCCGTTACACGAGAATTTTGCGTTCGGACTTACTTTTAAACCTACCGCCAGGTAGTAGTGCCAGCCTGCCAAGTGCCAATGTGCAAAGTAAAGTTTATAATATCCTAAAGTCGGGATTTGCTTACGGTATTTACGTTGACTGATCTCATTTTCATTACTTGATTGGATACTTTGTGCATTGAACTGGCGAATTGAGCTTTGTTCATAATACTAAACGGCTATAATGGATACAGGACCCCTATTGTGGTTCCGGACTATTCAGGTCAAAAATATACTACTGGTGGCGCCGCCGTGGCGGACGTTTGAAAGAACCCTCTAGGCTTGTTATAGGCCTTATAGGCCCCATAAGGTGGGTGGCTTATCAATGCCTATAATTAACCCAGCGGTCCGCGCTCGCCACTACCTCCCGTCGAACAAGCGATCCGATTGAACTTCATTCCTTAAGAAATCTTTTTCCCCTGCATATGAGCTGGTGAAAGTTTCATGTCGGTGAGTGATCGGGGTAAAGGATTCACGTTGCCAAGTTCAAAAAGGCGAATCGCTTTTGAGGCTTTCGGAAGTTGGACATGAAATAAGGCTCTCTTCATTTGAGTTCAGTATAGGTAATCGGATGACTCAGATATGAATATCCAATATGTACGGAGTACATCCGCCAAGTGAGTGGGTGTGCTGGGCATCACTGGCATAGTGCTTGGAAACGATCCACTTACTTCTTGGGAGACGGGGTGGAGATAGGATTGTCCCAGATTTGGACCAGAGCAGTGGTGCCTCGCTTGCTTTTGCTATTGTGGGGGTTCTTTGCCTTAATTTTTTTCGATTGGAGGAATTCTTGCCGCGCTGGTAGCGATTGGAGCGATGGCAGCGATGGGAGAGATCGGATTCGATGTGCTTCGGCCTTCGGGTATCGAATCATTTGTGAGCCTCACTCATGTTTTTGTGACGGAGAGTTGGGAGTTGGATTATTCTGTGGGATATGGTACGGTAGGTACGGTGAATTGTCGGTGATGGGATTGACGATTAATTGATTGATTGATTACTCGTAGGTGGGTTTCTTGCATTACATTCACTACAGATGCGTCTCCAATGTTACCATATTATCAATTCACCATATTAATAACATTATCGCGATATTACGATATCACAATGTTACGGTATCATTTTGAGTTTATGAGCAGACGAACGGCGAGTTCCATATTTTATATACGAGGTGAAGCATGAGGGATGAGTCCGGTTATGCAGGTGGTATCTATAGTTTTGACTCGGGAGTCGGGAAATTGGAAGATTGGAAAGGAATCTGGGTATATGGGAATCTGGGTTGTTTCCGAGTTTTTTGGAAGTTTTGAAATTTTGTGGTTTTGTGGTTTTGAGTTTGAGAAGGTTTGGAAGATTTCGAGATTTCAAAGTTTGAGTTTTTGAATATCGAGATTGAGATGAAAGTTATAGTTTTTTAAAAAAAAAAAGAGAGAAAAGTAAGTAAGCTCGCTAGGTCTAGATTCCCGAATTCGTATTCAAATAATTTATCGGCATGTGTCGGGTGTATGCGGGATGTATGCGGTATGTGTGCTGGTGGGATGAAGAGGGGCGGAGAGGTGATATTTCGGGGATGTGGGTGTAGATGAGGGGAATGGGGTGTTGGGGAGAGGGGGTGGTGTTACGAGTAGTTTATTACGGTGTATGGTGTGGTGTGGTGTGGTATGGTGTGATGTGATATTGTATGTGCATATGCATATTGTGTGTATTGTGCTTAATAGTGAGGAGGTTGGGGAGGGGAGAGGGGAAGAAAGAGAAGGGGAAAGAGAAGGGGAAGGGGGAGAGGGGGAAGGGGGAAGGGGAAAGCGAGGGGGAGAGAGAAAGAGGAAGGTGGAAGGTGGAAGATAGAAAGTGGAAAGTGGAAAGTTAAAGTGGAATGTGGAATGTGGAAAAATTACCAGGTTAAGTCTGAGACATGTACGGTTGATTACCGGTATCTCGTTATTGCCAGTGGGGGAATATTGTGCGAGGACTCGAGGAGTAGGGTTTGGGTGTGGATGTGGATGTGGATATTGGTGGGGGAAGGTATTAAATGATAGGGGAGAGGCAGGGTAAAGATGAAGGTGGATATGATATTGTATAATTGATTGATTTGTGAGTTTGTTTTTTGTTTTTTGTTTTTATTTGGTCAATTATCGATATACTTAGTTTAATTATTGATTTTAC